CGTACAGCAGAACTTACTATCACTATCAGCCATTGCAAGGTTCGGAATCGTGAACCTAAGGCTCAGAATCTGTCCAAGGTCGTCCAACGAAATCAGTGAGCGAAGAATGGCGCGAGCTCGAAGGGAATCACCCTTACCAGCCTGAAAGTTGGTGGGCTTGAGCAAGAACAATCAAATCAGTAAAAGGTTTCATACCTGTATGGCCATTCGATCCGGAGCGCATTTAGCCAAAAGGTCCACTAAAGATGAGTAGAAGTCCAAAGTTGCCGCTCCCAAGTCCATGTAATCCTCGCCTTCGCCCTCTTTCGATGGATACGACCTTAAAGTGAATGTACCATCAGGGTGACCCCAACTGAAGCCGTAAAAATGAGCTTTAAGACACACGGTGAATCTCCGAGAAGTCCACATTTCAGCATTGGAGCTGCATCACCCTCCTCTTCGAGTACCCGAATATCCTCGGACAAAGCAATTGCTTCCTGATAATTTCAAAATTTTTAATATCAGTGAATGTTTCACAATATCCACTGTGGAAAGTGGAATGTTATCACCTTGAATGCTGCGAATAGACCCTGGCCCTCTCCTTTTAGAGCTACACCAAGGCATTCCGGACGACGAATGAGCAAGCGAATCACCAGATTAGCGTTCTCTTCGACATTCTCGCCGTTAATCCATACACAGAACCGGAGGAAATCGATGTACCTATAAAAGATTAACTTTTTAAAAAACAAGAAATCGCACAATATTCAGCATTCTTCGAAGCTGATAAAAGACAAAAAGGAGGATAAATAGAGATTTGAAGATAGCACAGTGGAGCCAAGTTTAACATAGGAATCCTGTTGGTTCGTGATCAAATGGAGTACGAATATGAAGTTCGAAACAAGAAGCATGCCAAAGCTCACCGCTCTCCCTCCACAGGATCCCATCCGATGTCCGGATAGCCTTTAGCGATCATTTCCGAGTTTGGTTGTAGTCCACATCTTGACAAGTAGACGGTGACCTGAAAAAGGTTCCTCAAGATTGCTTGTGAGAAGGGCTAAAAGTTCAACTCCTACTCGATGATAAAGCTGTATGCGTCGGGAGGGGCAAATCTCTAGCAAGGCTAACTGCGTTATGGTGGCAAGGCAGGAGGGTGTAATGACATGCCGGCAATTCTAATGCTGACTAAGTCAAGCTGGAACAACCTCGGTGAGGGGGTGCAGACGAGCAGAAATCAAGTCGCTTAACCTCTTCAGACAATAGCTCCTCCCGAGGGTCACTGCTAAACAGCGGGCAGCATTACGTATTGGTTGATACTTCAGTGGTTCACCCATGCAAAATCCAATTGGAAAAATGTTATTTCTGGCCTAGCTCAGTGGGTGGATGTGGGGTAATGGTAAGTGGCACGCTTAGCTCGCTCGTCCTTCAGGAGTCAATTCCCAGATTGGCGCCCAATGCGACCAACGAAGCTTCCTTTCTTCCGGAGACGGTTTTGGCACCAGATTCGTCTGGGTGGAAAAGGAACTGATTTGCATGTCGTCCAGCTCACGTAAGTCATAATATAGCCCACTTCGCATTCAATATGCCACTACGATTCTGGGCTCTATTTACCCTTTACTGTCCCAGCCATCCAGAATTGAGCCAGTTTTGACCGACTTTTTTCTCCGTGGACAGATTTGGCTCAAATGTTGTCTCCTGGGGTAGTTTGACCTCCTGAATACGAATATCACATTCGCTTAGCCCGAAACTTCCTGGCGCCCGCGCCACAGGCGCCGGTGATTTGGTATTTTGGCGCCAGCGCCTGTAGCGCGGGCGCCAGGAGGTTTCGGCCGAGCGGATGTGATATTCGTGTTCAGGAGGTCAGACTACCCCTGGGAACAAGTTTTCAGCGAATTTGGTGATTTAGGTATTTTGGCGAGGAGGTTTCGTGCCGAGCGGATGTGATATTCATGTTCAGGAGGTCAAACTACCCCAGGGAACAAATTTTCAGCCAATTCTGCCAACGCAGAAAAAAGTCGGTCAAAAACTGGCCTGTTTTTGGAAGATTGGGGCAGTAAAGGGTAAAGTGCCCGATTCTGAATGGAACTAAAATGCTCGCCGCATCCCAAAAAAAATTGAACAACGGCGATGGTCCTACCGTTTATCCTTTATGTAGCTCAGTACCTTTGGATGTGATTTGATTTCATACACAATCTTTAGGTTTACAATTTTTACACCAATTTTCTGTTGAAGTTTTATAGGGGCGTCAGCTCATAACCAGCAGGTGTAACTTACCTTATCCAACTCTTCCTCCTTCAGAGCAAGTGCTAGCTCATTGTTATCCATGAATGACGAGTAAGCGACATCGAGAGGAACGGAACCCCTGAACGAAATTTTGGAGTTTGTCATGTTGAGTCACAGTGAGATACAGTAATCAATTTATCTGAACGGTAGTAATGTGGCATAAACTGGCAGTTCACAGGTAACCATCAGCTCGCGGTAAGGACGACTGTCCAAAACGCCTATTCCAGAGACTTTATAATTAATGACAAGGTCGAGTTGTGTCTTACCTGACGACCTCGAATGGACATTGGCTATCTTCTCGTTAACTGCGACGTATGAATGTCTCACTTGAGTCCACCACAGGGGGAGACATTACGCAGACCGATGAGAAGCAATATACCGTCCGTTCTTGCATGAAAAAGGTCCTCCAAGAGACTTTTCAAAGAATGCCATTCTCTGTGGTCGAGTTGGGTTGCTTCAACAGCTTCCAATCCAGAAATGCTTAATCACAGCCGCAGAAATATAGCGGGAGGGAACAAAAGTGGGTGTAGAGTTGATGCCCGAGGAATGTAAATCGAGATGTGGGAGGGCGTGGCCATCCATTGCACAGTTGAAAGAGAAACTTTGAAAAAGTGAAATATTTTCTAGTAAAACGGGTACAAGGGGTGATTAGAAAAAAATGCAAATATCATATAAAGATGTGCCATTAGAATATGAAATGATGTAGCCGATTACCCTAATCGACTAGGGGATGAGATAAATAAAAAAAAATGAAATTGACCAACAATGACTGGAAACATAACTTTTGCCAGTTCATTTATTGCTTTTGTACAAGGACCGCCGCGCAAGTCCGTGCAATAACTAAATATTAGCGTAGGCGACAACTGTGCGCGCAATGCACTCGCATGTTGGTACTGAGATCGATACTCGACTCGCTGAGGAAGTTTCAAATAGCCTAGCGAAGCTTGTTGTTTCCAGCGTGGTTGCCTCGCTCATACATCGCTCGTTGTTCTGCATAACTGCCAGCAACTCATCACATTTGACTGCGAGATTTAGACAAATTACTACCGCCCTGATGCAATAATCACCAGAAATTGAAGGAAAAGAACAGACGTAATAAAACAGACAATGTTTTATTCACAAAAATTAAAAATCCACAAGGCACCTCAAGCTTGGCCTGGCTAACAGCATCGTGGCGTTGTCGAGCAAAAATGATAGATGTTCGAACATGGCCTTCTGATTTTGTGCAGTTCGACAGGAAGTAGCACAGGAATCTCGAAACCATCGAGCATGCCACCACCATCTCAGATGAGTCCTAAAAATGGAAGAATACAGCGAGATTCAAAAGGAGTTAGATGCGCAAGAAATCCAGCAGAATCGTCTACTGAAAGACCCCTCTACTTAGATTCCTCGAAATGCAACCTATCTCAGATAGAGAGGGTGAATATGGCAGTAGAATCTATGGTGCACCTTGCATAAGCGCCACGGATGCTACGCCGTACAAACCCCAGCACCATAAACCAGCCTATGACCAACCTTGATGGGCGTTTTCTCCTTGACTTCTTCGCCCTCATGTTCAACTGCACCTTGTTGAGGCAGTCAGAATGTTCATCATAATCGACATTACGTTCTCATGTACTGACAGCAATCGCATCAAATCCGGATGTTGGAAGAAAATTCGATTATTCATCAGTTTCCTGCAAATGTTAATCAGTAGTGAATAACTGAAACCATATCATATTGATTTAATTTATCATCCAAATAAGTTTGGTTTGTTCTGCCTTCTGCGAAGAGAAAGCTGTCTCGTGATCGCTGGGATTCCTGGAGTAATCTTGGTCAGCTAGAACCCTACACGTTTAGGGAATAATATCATGGGGATTTAGAAAATTCCTTCTCGAAATGGCTTCTCCATATTCTCTTTCTGATGAAACTATCGTCGTGGAATCCCTGTTGGGTAGAGTACAAAAAGAGTGATCCGACCACCTCCCAAATGGGAGTGTAGAGCGGGTGGAACTTAACAGGAGGATAGCATGGGCACAATCATCTTCTCAGGGTTTCGAAAAATGTCCTTTATTCATACAAATGTAGTTAATGTCGTCGCAAACAGTGGGAGTGGTGCCAGTGGGACCGAACGGAGCCCGCCTCCGGCTGACTTTTCTACCGATAGTGATCGAGTGAAGAAGAAAACAACCAGTGGTGGAAACGCCGTGAGTGGGCTCACTCCACGCGTCTTGACAAGGGCCCGACTCATTGTTGTGATACCGGCACT